TCGGACTGTATTATATGTCCCGTTGTTTATCTCCACCAACTCCCACAATGACCCACTATGTGCAAGTAGCGGCACGCCTTCCGCCCCCTTAGATTGCTTTGCCCGTATGCATCTTACGTGCCGTGCCGAAGAAGGATAAGAGCCCATTCAATATTTATATTGACTCGACACCTCGCTCTCAACCGTGCTGTCGAATCTTCACGTAGTCGATGTTCTATTGGTGTTTCAAAGTTAGAAACATACATCAATCAGTTGTACCGCATGGGTTCTGAGGTGGGATCACAGGTACGTCGGTCCCAGTGCTACTAAAGTATCCGCTGGACTGTAATATAATAAGCGCTAGGCTTCTCGTGCGCAATCAGAGAACTTGAAACTACTTACTATGAATCAAGTGAGCCCGCAGTCTTTGGCCGTTTGAGGAGACTAACGGCACCCCTATAGGAGATACGTCGTATTGTGAACCACCTCCTGGACCGTTGCAATATACCTTTCGAAACCACGCACATCGACGAAGGATTTTTTCACACATGTATAGAGGATGCCGCCGCTCATGGCTGCCCCATGGAGCCCTCACCCGGGATCCCCTCTTTTCGCCCCTTCATCACGAGCGGTGTTGTCACTGCATGTGTTGCATATGGCCACCTGGAAAGCCTTTCAGCAAGAATGTACATCGCCCTGTATACCTCTTTGGCCACCTATGTCGACGATGTCTACGACGGCCAACCCAACCTTGTGAACGCTTTCTGCCACAACTTCGTCATGCATTTGCCGCAGGAGACAGCAGTACTGCGGGCGTTCGATCAACTGTTGAGAGAGACGTCGAACCACTTCGACGGGATTCAAGCCAATTTCATCATTGCAAGTACTATGTACTTTATGAACGGTGTCGCTCTCGAGCACGACATCAGGCCGCTCGAAGTGAGTCGAGGAATCTGATGTATTCACGGGTTCCCCACCGTTGCTAACTTCGGGGCGCAGATTAAGACCTCCAATTTTCCTCAGTTCCTTCGAGGACTATCTGGCGATTCCTTTTCTTTTTGCATCTTCATTTTCCCGAAGGATGTCCCCCTCAGTTCGTACATCCAAGCCCTGCCGTCCATGATGGATTACGTCGATTACATGAAGTAGGGCCGCTCTTCTAGTCACTTCCTCCGTTCCCAACCTCGAGCCATAGTGACGTTCTCTCTTTCTACAAAGAAGAGGTTAATGGTGAGGATAAAAATATAATCTCTATCCTCTCGATGCAGCATGGCGTGCCGAAAACGGTGATCCTAGAGCAACTTGCCGACCTGGTTGCTTCGAGTTACGTGTCAGCAAACGCTATTTTGCGCACTTCCTCTGATGCGGCCCAGGTAGCCTGGAGGAGGTTTGCGCGAGGCTACGTCAGCTTTCACGTATCCTATGGAACCCGGTATAGATTACACGAGGTTTTTCAAGGTTCTGAGGATTCGACTTCGTAAAAGGGGTTGAGCCGTGACTAGGTTTAGAAGGACGGCCTAGGCATGCCCTTGTGTCTCCCACTCCAAATTCCACCCGTTTGGCACAATTATTTTATCCGACGTTCAATGTTAACGTTAGTGCTGTGCACAAAGGTACCGGTGCCAGTGAGGACGAAACAAATCCCTCTTCTCTTATCTCAGGTTCTTCGTTCCCGGTGGTGGCCCGGTCCCATGCGTACCGTAAATTTCACCTCTGACTGCACAGCAAGTCGGTTCCACCATCGAAGCTGAAGAGCCAATCTCTCGATGGGGAGCATGAGTATACAGCTCGTTAGTCCCTTTCGTTGAAGCGTATATCGAAAACACTATAAAACGCTAGCAGGCACTCAGTGTAAGTCAGAAAATCAGTCCTCAACATGTCTCAAGTGAGGTCATTTTTCATCCGACAACAGTTTCCCAGCTTATCTCCGTCGTTATAGGAATTCACTAGCATCGTGGGCGACCTCCTGGCTCGTTGCGACTTTGCTCTCTCTAGTACGCCCATAGACCCTGGATTCCTCCAGCTTTGTCTAGAGGATGCAGCTAGTCGTAGCTGCCCTATGGAGGCATCTCCTGGGATCCCGTCTTTTCGTCCTTGGAATATCAGCGGCGCCACAATTGCGTACATTTCATATGGTCACCTGGAGAGCCTGCCAGTGAAACTCTACATCGCCCTCTACACGTCTCTCGCCGTGTACATTGAGGATGTCTATACCGATCAGCCAGACGTCGTGAACACCTTCAACCACAACTTCGTCACGCGCCAACCACAGCAGACGGCGGTACTGCGGGCTCTGGACAAATTGCTAGGAGAAACCTCCAAATACTTTGACGCGGTTCAAGCCAACCTCATCACGTCAAGCACCTTGAATTTCATGACGTCTATCGCTATTGAACATGCGGTCAACAAACTCAATGTGCGCCCCGTGACCTTAGTGTATTTGACTGATGCTAACTTGGAAGGTAGATAACCGCGGGTGCGGATAAATTCCCTCAGTTTCTTCGAGGACTATCCGGTATTTCATGTGCATATTGCCTGTTCATCTTCCCCAAGGATGTCCACCTCAATACTTACATCCAAGCCATGCCGTCCATGATGGATTACATCAACCATATGAAGTTGGTCTTGCTCATTAGCCTTCTGCTTCAACGTTCCTGACCTATAATTTCATAGCGATGTTCTATCCTTTTACAAGGAAGAGGTCAACGGCGAGGATAACAACTACATTTCAATTCTGTCGAAGCATCGCGGCGTGCCGAAGACAGAAACTTTAGAGCAGCTCGCCAACTTAGTTGCTTCAAGCTACGAGGCAGCAAGTAATATTTTACGGGCTTCCGGCGCCGCCCACACCGCTTGGGCAAGGTTTGCTCAAGGGTATGTTGGTTTCCATACATCCTACGATCGTTATCGATTACACGAGGTACTTCATGTGGCTGGAAGTTCGGCCCCGTAGAATTTGGCCTGTACACGTATATCGTTCAAATATTTCTTTTATTTACATGTGCAAAACAATCACAGCCACAGGACCCAGGCAGCGGCTAGCCTCAGACCTCCCGCTTCGGACAACAAATTCGCAGCATGTATATACAGTCGCCAACGGAATTCAAGAATGAGGGCGATCTATTCACAGCTCACAAGCCTTGAGAAAAGCCGGTAGACATATAGTCAGACGACGCTGACGGTCCTGTCAAGCTGTTTCCCGTTTGATGCGTCGTTTGGAGCAAGCATGACACAAACCGCGGATTGAATCCCAGTAACTCGTGATGGGAGGGGACATAGAACATACAGTAACGCGGCCAGGCAATACACAGCAAAACGCGTCCACTACTAGACCAAACTGCCTCTATCAATCCCAATCTTTTGGTACAAGTCGAAGGCCAGGCCCGAGGCTTCTACCACCCGAACGAAGGCCGGCGGGAATAATTTCTTCTCCAGTTTCGTATCTTTCGCAGCGACACCCCTGGCCCTTTTCTTATTTGGTTGACTTGTTTATTCTTACCAGCCTCTTATTTTCATTCTAACCCTGGGGTCCCCCATGCCGCGAGCTCTGTCACCTGTGTCAGCAGGATGCTCATCAAGAGCCAAATACCAAGGGTCGGAACACCGATCACTGAGTTTTGACCAGTAGATTGCACAGAAACTTATCAGAAACTGTGCATACCTTCGATACTATGACCGCTCGCGTTGAAGTTCAAACCATGCATTCAATCGGCACTAACTAGTGAACGGTTCGCGAACCAATTGGAGGCGAGATCCTCAGCTAGTTTGGGTCTTCGAGACGGATAACGAAAGTATTAAAGGCCCACAAGCATACACAGTGTTATCTAGACATCCTGAAGCCAGCATGTCTCAAGTAAGCCCGTGTCTTCCAGCTGACCACACATTTACTTACTTTTGCCATCCCAGGAAATTGCTCGTATCGTGAATAACCTGATGACCCGTTGCGGTCTCCCTCTCTCGAACACGCCAATTGACGAAGAATTCCTTCAGCTTTGCCTCGAGAATGCGGCTGCTCGTGGCTGTCCCATGGAGGCCGCACCTGGGATCCCTGCATTCCGTCCGTTCATCTCCATCGGTGCCACAATGGCATATACTTCATACGGTCACTTGGAAAGCCTTCCTGCAACGCTGTACATCGCTCTGCATGCGACTCTCGTCACGTATATTGAAGATGTCTACAGCGATCAGCCCGACCTCGTGAATGCTTTCAACCACAGCTTTGTCATGCGTCTCCCACAGCAAACAGCGGTGCTCCAGAAACTCGACGACTTGCTAGCAGAGACATCAAAACACTTCGATGCGATTCAGGCTAATCTCATCCTCACGAGCACCATGAATTTCATGACTTCCATTGCTATCGAACATGGGGTCAACAAACTCAATGTTCGTTCTACGGTCTTCAGCGTTTTCAACAATCGCTAACTTGTGGCATAGTTAAGGCCCGAAGCGGATGGCTTCCCTCAGTTCCTTCGTGGACTGTCTGGCATTTCATGTGCATATTGCATGTTCATCTTCCCTAAGGATGTCCACATTGATTCATACATCCAAGCCATACCGTCGATGATGGATTTCATCAACCATATGAAGTTAGCCCTGGTCAACATTGATCTACTTCGTTTCTAATCTAAGTTCACAGCGATGTATTATCTTTTCACAAGGAAGAGGTCAACGGCGACAACAACAACTACATCTCTATTATGTCGAAGCATCGCGGTGTGCAGAAGATAGAAACTCTAGAGCAACTTACCAAGCTAGTTGCGTCAAGCTGTGAGGCAGCAAATAATATTTTACGCACTTCCAGTGCCGCCCACGCAGCTTGGGGAAGGTTTACTCAAGGATATGTTAGCTTCCATGCATCCTATGCCCGTTATAGACTACACGAGGTGCTCCAGGTGTCCCAGGATTCAATTTTGTAAAATTCCGCACGCAGGGCTTGTATATTTCTTTTGTGTATATACTGCGAACATGAAAGTTTACAGCAAAGAAAGGGCGCAAAAAGGGACGCTGATGTTATGGCAAAAAACCCACGGCGGGATTCGAACCCGCAACCTCCAGATTAACGTTAAGCGTAGAAGTCTGACGTCATAACCATTAGACAACGCGGGCTTAATGGCATCGCTCGAAACAGTGACCAAGTGCCAAAGGGGGACCCTTGCTTTCGACTGGTCATAAGTTATAGCTCGAGTCAAACATGTAAAGCTATGGCACCAGGGAACGCGCAGTCTGCGCTTAGGGCAGAACCTCGTCTCACCGTGAACTTTTCTACTAAATCAAACCTGGACCCATTAGAGTGAATGGAGGTTCTGGCGGTGGCACCCATGATCATGCTGATTTGCCTTCAGACATCGCCGCATCCCAGAAGCTTTTCTCAAGCCATGTACACTTCTCCCAAACCTCGCACCACTCTTGAAGTCTCTCAGGAGAAGGTGGATCATGGACAGCTTGCTCTTCGACCTTGGCTTTAATGTGTAATTCATGAGTAAGCAACTAGTGAGTAACTGACGTGAAGGGTGGTACTGACCAAGGCCCGTCCTAACAGCGGCTTGATAGTCGAGCCCAGAATAGTCTTCGATCCACTTCAAGTACGGGTTGCCTTCTAATCTAACCCAGCTATCAGGTTTACTAGCCTCGCGTTTTAACCATAGCCCAACTTCGCCGTATCCCAGTAAACAAGCAAGGAGGGCCATGGTTAATTTAGCTGGGTCACCTGAGTTCGAGGGGAGATGATCATTCCCTTTGAAAGAGATCTGGCGTCGGCGTACCTTGCATGCCTATGTCGATCAAATAGCTGCCGTAAGCGATGGTCGAAAGGGATTGAGGTGTTGACTCTAACTCGTCTACAGTGATTCCAAAGTGCGCGCAGAATGATTTATGAGTTTCTAGTTCTCGCATGATATGGAGAACAATATCCGCAGCCGAGTGGATATCGCCGAATTTGTTTGATTTGGATGCCAGGAGTCTACACGCCGGATACTATTAGTCGCCGTGCAACAAGTTGGAATCTAGAGGTGTACCCATGTGCTCGAGCATAGTATTTAAGATAATGATAGTCTTGCCTATGCCAAATAGTCAGGTATGGATGTAACTAAATGTTGGCTCCGCTTACTTGATGAAATAAATAAACGCTTCTTTGGGCAAGATGCCTTGACCCAAGAGCTTCACAAAGTCGTGCTCAACATATTGCTTCCAGACAGGCTGGCTCTTCCGTATAAGCATCCGGGTAAAAGGAAATGGATTGCTCGGTGTTCGTCTGTCCTTTCTTTAGCCTGTATTCTCGAAAATGAAGGTAAACCACCTACCCTGGGATGGTCGACCGAGAAATAGAGTGAAGGTGGTTCAACGGGCCGTGTCCTTCGCCTATTTTGGGCGCCGTGGTAATGCCGAGATGGGTGAACATGACGCCTAATCGAACTGCTGATTTCACTATAATCACAGATCAAACTTTGCGCCTACGACGAACATTGGAAATGACCGACAGTCCTTGCCACGACCTAGCTCACTTGCGATGGCGGAGCTGAGGGTGCACCCCGTTCCATGAGTGTTTTCCGACACGATAAAAGGTCGCACAAAGAGAGTCAAATCACTGCCAAGGTCCAGGACATCGACGACAAGGCGCGGCTCCCTCAATCCATCATCACCGACTTGGAGGATTTCCATGTTCTCTTCAAGGAGTTCGTCCTTCACGACTGAAGCCTGAGGGTACGCTCTCATGACGCGCTCAACGTCCTGCAGCGACGCCGTGATGTGACCACCCTTGACCAGGCAAGCGGATCCATACTCCACTAGGCGGGTAGCAGCAGTAACCATATCCTCTAAAGAAGATATCATAAATCCCGGGTACTTGCGGGACACCAACAGCTCCGCTTCAGCCTTGTTCGGCGTAATCAGCGTCGATATAGGGAAGACGTTTTGGATGAGAGCGCCGATTGCACCTGGTTGGAGAAGCGTGTGTCCCGAAGTCGACACACACACCGGGTCACACACTATAGGTGGCATCTTAGCACCCGTGTAATGGCTGTTCAGCGTTTGCACGATGGATAGGATGGCATCGGTATCATGGAGCATGCCAGTCTTGATGGCATGTATCTCGATGTCGCTTAGCACTGAACTAAGCTAAAGCAATAAATCAATAAAATACCTAACGTGAGAGTGATTAAAGACAGGCCTGTTGGGAGACAAACTCTGGCGGGATTGGGTAGACTCCTTGGACACCCGTAGTGTTTTGTGCAGTGAGGGCAGTAATCGCGCTTGATCCATAGCATCCCAGAGCGGCAAACGTCCTCAGGTCGGCCTACAAAATCAGCATCCGATGCGCAAAGACACCACCAAAGACTCACTTGGATCCCGGCCCCGCCGCTTGAGTCTGAGCCTGCGATTGTCAGTATTGCTGGAGGTGGTTCGTTATCGACCATGGCCGTACGGAGCACATGATGGAAATGCCGCGGGATCATAAATGGTTTGTTTGCTCCTGACGGGGTAGACAAACAGTAAAGTATTCGTATGTCTGGTGATAAAATTACTACTGAAGTAATGCAGTTAGATAGTCACTTCCGAACCATAAAACGATAGGTAGAGTATCCTCCAATGAAAGCGAATGCAGCAAGGCATGCAATAATAGATCCAAACCATCTGTAATTCTGACCGTCCATCAGTACTCAACATCGTCGAGAGTAGTACATCAAACTTACCTCCACACCTTCCCCAGGCACATGCACGTTCATGCCCCACAAACCTGTGACCAAATTCATGGGGATGAGAACCGTACCGAGAGCCGTAAGCTTAGACAACACATCGTTTATCTGGTTGTTCGCGTCCGTCATTTCGATCGATATTTGTGCCAAGTAGTTTGAATGCGAGCGAGAAAGGATTTTCTCGTAGTGATTTAGACTTTGCGTCATGGTGATAAGATGGTCCTAGCAGATAACGGGAAAGGTTATATTTAGCTTTGACGAAAAAGCGGGGTAAATTACCTGGATATCTGAAAGGTAAAGACCCTGGAAGTCTCAGGTTCAGTAAACGGAAGGCATCTAGGACCAACGTTACTCACAATATCCGAGGTTGGAGCAACTCTCCAGTTCTCGTTGCACCTTTTCGCAAGTCCCTTCACGACGTCCGCCTTATTACCCATCAACCTCAACAGACCCATGACCTTCTTCCTACAAGTACCGATACGCCTCAACATGTCGGTTTGCTCCGCCTCCTTCAGAATGAGCACCAGCTCGTCTATACTATCGACCTCGTATTCTATGCTTTGAATTAAGGGTCCAAACGCGTCCGTGATGTCGTCAATAAGCGCATAAGATATCCAATCCGATGTAACGTTAATATAGTCCTTGAGTTGTTTAATACGCCGCCGCACGTTCTGTGGGTGAGGGGTAGGACGGAAGTGGAACTGAAGAACTGAGTCAGCAGAGTGATTCAGACGACGCAGACTGAGGACATACCGATAAAATACCTTCGCGGAAAACTATTATATACATATTGAGTGGTTCTAGGTGGGTTGGGCTATATTGATCCTGGTCGAAACTGCGAAAACAGACGAAGTAATAATTGCGGAATAATTCTATTTTCTCTCGAGTTTCCTCCATTTGAATATCTTCTGTAGTGAGAGGATGGATCCCGAAGACCTGATTATTTACATGTTGAGGATGTAAACAGTCACATAGATAAACGAGGTCTTACCTTGCTGAGCATCTTCATCTCCTCGTCTGTGGGGCTATTGATATCAAGCCACCACGTATGACCATCGTAGTCGTCGTTTGTCGACATGCCAGGTCGCCTCGGATCGCCTCCTAGCCGTTGAGAGTTGGCGACGAAAGCGCGCTTCGCATCTGCGGGAAGGGTAGATGTCGATGAAATCGGCCGCTCCTTCGCACCGTTACCGGGAGGGTGAGGTTGCGGTACTGACGGCTGACGGGATCCTACTCCTGCGAACAAGTCTTCGAAAGACTGGTTTTCAGCGGGAAGTTCGCTAAGGCTGCGAGCATGAATGGTGGCTGAATGGGCATTGGAATAGAAGGAAAAGCGGTAAGGCCGATCATGTCCAGTTGAAAGGATTCCTGAAGGTAACCCAGGAGCACTAGACATAGCACCTGCAATAGCTGCACCCGCTACATGCTCAATAGATCCTGACGAGCTAGAGGGCCCCTGTCCACCAAGCATGACGCTTAGCCTTCCGGGGAGAAATGAATGGTCGTTGTTATTTTCGAAGAGGGCCATTTTACCTCCGACCCCTTTTCGATGAGTACGAGGAGCGGGCGTGCTTTGACTCAGTCTACGTTGCCGAGCGGACTTTAGTATAGATTGAGGTGAACTGCTCCCTTCACCCAAGGCTGGTGCAGAGGCATCCCCACGATCGGTGCGAAGAGAGTCAAGGTTGAATCTTGCGGTGGGGGATGAAATCCCAAGGTCCGTCTTCTCTTTAGTAGCAAATTCTTCCATTAAACCAAAGTCAAAAGCGCTCGGGGGTGCGTTTGCCTGGTAGGTTGGCAGACCATACGTCGACGCCGCAGGGTCCTCCCCGGGTTGTACATCGTTGTTTATAGAGACGAGAAGAGATGGATCTTGAGTCTGGTGTAGATGTTGCTGCGACAGGAAGGAGGATTGTCTGTGGAGACCTGGATGTAGAGTTTCGTCGTCGTCGCGTGCTCCATCCATCACCTCGTTAGCACCATCTCCTTCCTTCACCGACCCTCGTGCAACATCAAGATCTCTACGCTCATTCTCTGAGAGGGCAGATATGGACGCATATAGCTGCTCCGGGGACGATGACACGACCGGCGATACTGGCATGGTTACTGTTTCTCTCCGAGCCCTAGAAAGCTGCATAGCCATGTCAACGTCCATCGTGCGCTGACGCTCAAGAGCTTGTGGGTCAGTCGGGTCGAATGACCGCGCAAGGGTTGGAGAGTGTCGAGGAAGCCATTCATTGGTTTCATGAGGAGAGCCTGTCACTGGGTTCAGGCTCTCGCGACGACGAAGTACTGGAGAGCCGCCTGAGGAAGAAGGTGACTGCGAAAGCGCATTGCCTTCTCTGGGTGGCGAGGACATGGCACGCTAGTCGCTGTCCCGCCGGGGCCTGTGGTGGTGGGTCGAGGTGAGCTTGC